TTCTAAATGGATGTAAAAACTGCATTTCGTAATGAAGAAATAAATGAGATCTACATGAACGAACCAGTTGATTTTCAAGCCAAAGAAAACAAAACACAAGTTGTGTCACTTGAAATGTTCTATCTATGGCTTAAAACAATCATCACAACAACGGTATCTTTTTTTCATTAAGCCATCATTTCCATAGGCTTCATGATGATTGAAGAGCTCCATTCTCTATATATAAAAAGGTTAAAGAATAGGTTCTCTATTATTTCACTATATATGGATGATATCTTACTAATCGGGAATGACATGGAGTTGATTGTCATCACATAGAAATGGTTGTCCTTAACTTTCAAGATGGTGGATGTGGGACAAGCTGAATACATCTTCGATGTTAACATCTCGAGAAATCATTCTAAGAAGTTCTTAAGTTTGTCTTAAGAAAGTTACATTGAAAAAGTCTTAAAATGGTTTCATATGCAGAACTCCAAGCCTATAGACACTCCATTGGAGAAAGGCTTATATCTCAACATGTAACAATGTCCTAAAACTAAATAAGAAAAAAAAAACAAATGGCAAAAGTACCATATACAAGTGCTATTGAAAGTTTAATGTATTCTATGATGTGTACTCGACCAGACATATGCTTTGCGATTGTTATAGTCAGTAGGTATTAAAGTAATCCTAAGATTACCCATTAAGATGCAATCAAAAGGATACTATAGTATCTAAGAAAAACCACTAATTTGGCTTTATGCTATCAAGGTGGAAGTCTAAAATTGGTCAAATATAGTGATGCTGATCATGCCGGTGATAAAAATGATCGAAAGTATACTTCAAGAAATGCTTTATACTTGAAGGCAAAGCTATATCTTAGAGTAGAAAGAAGTCGCTATGTACTACTTTCTACTATGGAAGCAGGGTATATAGCATGTTGTGCTGTAATAAAAGAGATGGTTTGGTTAAAGAGATTCTTGCAAAGCTTGAACATTACTAGGCATCTTAGTAAAGCTGTTGTACTTTATTGTGACAACACAGCTGCCATAGCTTATACAAAGGATCATAAGTGCCATGGAAAAGCCAAACACATTGATACTCGTTATCACTACATTTATGATATCAGTGCTTAAGGTCTTGTTGTGTTAAAGTACATCTTTATAACTGATATGTTAGCAAACCCATTCATTAGACTTATTATTAGAAATGCTTTCCAAAAGCATATTAGTGGTTTAGGGTTATGACACATTTGATATTTATGTGTTATTGTTTTTGAACAATTAATAAATTAAGTCTATGTTGATTTATTTGATCAGATTTTGTTAATTAATTAGAGCATATATCTAACATAATTATTGTCACTAGCTTTATAGATTATTCCTCCACACAAGATAATCACCTTAACGTTATGGTGGCGTGTGGGATAAGACTTAAACGATAACAAGGCACCAAACGTTTCGTGATCTCCTTGTCACATGAGTTGTGAGTAAGGATTTTAGCAATGTCTCATTGACTTAGAGTCAAGATGAGGCTTGAAAGAGTCGAACATGGAGATTATCCATACTCCATGGAGCTAGTGATAGTTAGATGTCAATCTTAAGGGATTTAGGTCAATTTTTTTTGTAGGGATTGGACTGAGATCTATATGGTGGTTTTAACGTGACAAATCCTAAGTGAAAAATCCACCATAACATGCATTTCATACTATATGTGCTATTAGTCGACCAATTAAAGGGAGTGATTGAATATATCCTTGCTTCATCACTGTATGAACCCTAAGGACTTATGTAGTCTAAACTCTAAATCTAGTAACCTTTGGGACTTGGATCTATGACATGAAGTTGAGATTTGGTGTTATTGCTTTAGCATGATTTCCAAGGGTTAAGAATGATGTGATCTAACGGAACATGACTAGGAAAGCAGCTAGATCCTAATGCATTGACATGAGTATCCAAGGAAGAGTTATCATGTATCTCACGTACATGATCTATAACTCATTGCCTTAGAGATTATAAAACATTAGTTGTTAGATATAACCATGAATTTAGACACATAGAGAGATTTTGCATAGCTTTTACATATAGGAGGGATCAAAGATGCAAAATCTTGTGTGATTAAAAATGATTTTGGGGATGATGAGAACTTGAGCAATATTATGTTAGTAAAATGGTTACTTAATATCTCACTGCTCACCAGTACCATTATTTTTTCTTAATGGCCACACGTTTCATTTTCTCTATATGATAGTGAATGGTGAATGAGTTAAGTTGAGAAGGATATAAGTTGATGTTAATGAGTATGAATGGGAGATGTTGCATTTAAATATGGTGAGTCCACATGACATGCAACTATGCTAAGTATTTCTGAACACTTAACAAATATTTAATTAATTAATGTTAGATATTATTCGAATATTTCTTAATTGAATAATTGAAAAATGTTTGAGATAAAATATAAATATAAATTTAATTTATTTAAATTTAAAAAAAGATTATCTATGTAATAATCTATTACATTTAAATTTAAATTTAAATTTGTTTAAATTGAAATAAGGATTAATTATATTTAAATTTAAATTTAAAAGAGATATCTTATTTTTATATCCCTAATGCGTTTATAAATAGTGAACAGAGATATTGGTCTTTTACACACAATCAAAAGTAAACGTGAGTTGTTCTGTAAGTTAAAAAAACCAAATATTTTTTCTCATTCTCTGCAGTTTCTCTCATTTTCTTCATTCTTGAGGTACTAGTATAACTCTTCGTTGAGGACTCTAAAAGCTATTTCATAATAATAATAACGAACAGATTGTCATGTACACGAATGAGAATTCATAAAGCAATATGTAAAGCAAGCTTTAGTTTCGTTGCGTATACAAAAGAAAATTTGTAAAGGGAGTTTCTTCGATCAAAAAGAGAAAGAAAAATTCATCTCAAAAGGGAGGCCTACCTCCCAACAATAATGAATACATATATTTGTTTTTGATGTTATGAAAGGGGAGATGGAATTAGAGGTATCGCTTAAAACCACTTAGATTTCATGTTATTACATTGATTATTTAGTTTTTTAAGAAAATATGATAGGAGTAAGGAAATATGATTATCTCAATATTTTGAATAAAATATATAAAATTTACATTATTTAATCATATTATTATCAGTACTATAGATTATTTGCTCCCTCTTAGATTTGAAATCATTTAGTACAACCTTTTCTAATTAAAACCTGGGCTTAAACCTTATGCAGAAAAGAAATGGCAAATTCTTACAAGTCTAACAATCCGTATCAAGTTGGCAACGCTCAGTGGTTGAATGTTGATTTTTCGCTGGTCTTTGAGTGAATAATGTGATGACGCTAAGATATTAAAAATTCGATTCAAAGTGGTTGGTGGGAATTGTCAATTGTGAGAAAAATAGATTAAAAAAACAATATCCGGTAGTTTGGGTCAGCATCACATGCTGGACTTGGCTAGTGGCCATATGGGGAAAATAACAGTAGAGGGATAGACAGCTTGACTTGTTAGAAGAAAGAATAAAACAGGGGTCAGTCAGTTGTGGCCGCAGCACTTGTTGACGGTCTGAGTAAGAGAAATATTTCCATGTATCGGCAGCCATTGCTCCAATCCAATGAAAATTCGTATTCTCCTTGACTAGAATAGGTTTCTACTGTAACTATATTCTATACACAATATATAAACATATTCTTTTTCCATTTTTTTCTCTTTTTTAACCTTTAGGTAAATTAAAACAAAGAATAATGCTTGAAAAAATCTTTAAATTATTTTAAAACATTGAATAAATATTTATTTTTTTTGTTGCATTGAATTAAGTTTTTATTTTTTTATTTTAAGTCAAATAAACTCTTATAACTAATATTTGAATAATTTTTATTAATTAAAATATTATTTATTATTTTATATCCACATGACATTAATATAGCGTTGATATTAAAAATAAAAAATACAACATGATCATGTTATCATATTACATTAACATGTCACGTTATCATCAATTATGATATTTCAACATGTCACATTAACATTATGTAGTATAAAATGATAAGTTGTATTTTCACTTAATCAATAATTAATTACTAGAGCTAATTTGGTTCAAAATAAAAATATAAAAGTTTATTTGATTTAAAATAAAATAACATAAACTTAATTGAACGTAATAAAAAGAATAAAATCTTATTTAAATTTTTCTAAATAAATCAGAATTTTTTTTTTATGGATGATACATTAAAACAAAATTTTTGATTGTAATGTATTTTGACAATAAAATTTTTAACAAATTTAATTATATAAATGTTCAATATATGGAAAAAAAATTATGAAAAAAAAATTTGTAATGTAGAAAAAGTAATAATATTAAATATCTAAGAAAGAAAAAAAAAACTTCAATTAGTGATTGAGACAAAAGGAGTATAAAAAACAAAATAATTCTCCCTAATGTCGAAAGGAAAATTTTGTGTGTACACCGAATATTTTACTTTTCAGTATCTATTGAAACAAATTATGTATTGGAAAACTTAAAATCAACCAAATCCAAAGCGAAAATCAACTGAATTACCGAATTAATTGGGTCCATAAGATAACATTCCTAAGAGGAAGTGGCAGTGCTCAAAGTGACTTGAAAGGAACCAACGATGGCTCAATACATGGTCAGGTGGCGCCGTGGTTGTTGAGGATATGGTAGGTACTCATTTTCTTTAGCATGCTTATATTGTGCCAAATGGATTGTCGCGTCGCCGAGCAAGCCTAATTAGGCAGCTTTGAATAGTCATAGTCACTTATCAGGTGGTGTTGTTTAATTTACTTACAGAATGAATGCAAAAGCACAACACGACAACACGATGTGTTAGGATTTAGATGTTGTCCAAAAGTAAAAGGATAAAAGGAAGCAAAGGAGTTGATTTTCTAAATTTTGGACTCGATTTTGCTGACTTTGGTGCTTTCGGACTGGCTGCTCCATGTTCAGGGCACCTCACTGACCTCACTATAAAGCTATCTAAACCCTTTCTTGAAACCAGGTTGGAGGTGGCAATCAAATTAACCAAAAGCAAAGCCAAAGTGTTCTGTTATTTCGTGAACAAACATGGGAATCCCAGCACAAACCCAGCTGCAAGAAGATAAAGAAAATGGAGTTTCCACTATCCCTCTCCTCACTCCCTTCAAGATGGGCAGATTTAATCTCTCTCACAGGTAAAATGCTCTTCCCTTTTCAACTTTTTTCCTTTACTTCTCCTAAATTTTTATAATTGAAATGAAAGAAAAGGGAACTAATCATAGCACTTGGCAGACGCAAGTAAATTCTATTTGAATTTTGGGAGATTGATGAATTTTATCATTTATCTTTTTGTCTCTCAGAATTGTAATGCCACCAATGACCAGACAGAGATCTTATAACAATATACCTCAGCCACATGCGGCGTTATACTATTCCCAAAGAACCACCGAGGGCGGCCTTCTAATAACTGAAGCAACTGTGGTTTCTGAATCGGCTCGAGGGTAATTTAATTGTCAACTTCTTTTATTATTACAACCTATAAAAGTTCATATTATACAGATACACAGAGAGAGTTCACAAACTCTAGATGATTCGACTCTAAAATATCCAAATTCGAAACAAGTCTAACTGAAAAAATCCGAATTTCCTTTGACTCGGAATGACCCGTCCCACCCAACTGTCACCTACTTATATTATATGTTGTATTTGTAATTTTTGTATTAGTTCAATGTACATAATTAAAAGTTGGTTTCTACCCGTGTAAAGGTACAAAGACACGCCAGGTATATGGTCAAAAGAGCAAGTTGAGGCATGGAAACCCATTGTAGATGCTGTCCATGCAAAAGGTGGGATCTTCTTTTGTCAGATTTGGCATGTGGGAAGAGCTTCAACTTATGGTGAGTATTTTCATTTCTGTTTTTTTTTTCTTGTTTTTTGATCTTCCTTAGTTAGAGCATATTTGATTGGGTTTTTTTTTTAATTTAAAAACTATTATAAAACTCTTATGAAAAATATTAATTTTTAAAATTAAGTTAAAATTGTTTGGTAAATTTACCTTTTATAAGCTTTTTTTTATAAATAAGTTATTTAACAAAACAATTTATATAAACTCTAATTTTAGTTAAAATTACAGTATTTAATAAATAATTTTTTATTAATTATGAATTTTTTTATTCAAAATAAAAAAAATTAACTTTATTTTTTATCTATTTAAAATAAAATTTTGAAAATATAAAAAGATTTTATATAACATAAAGTTTATAATTAATAATAGATTATAAAAAAAAGAGTTCAACAAATCATTTATAATTAACACATACTTCATAAATAATTTTTTTATTAAATAATAAATAAATAAAATTAAAAGAAAAATTGAATAAAATAAATTTTTTTTAGAATGATGATTTGCATAAAGGGAGAGAGGAAAGGGAGATGGATAGGGAGAGAGGGATGAGTATTTTTTTGAAGGATAAGATTTTCTTGAGAAAAAATAATTCTTCTAATAACCTGATGTGTTTTTTTTTTAAAAAAAAAAAAGCTTCTAATTGAAGCTTTTTTTAAAACTCTTTTTTTATATTTTATTTTTTAAAAAAAGTTATTTTTTTAAAAGTTTTTTACGAAATCCTGTTTGATCAAATTTTTATTTTTAAGTAATAAATAAATTAAATATAAATCAAGTCAAATGGACACTTAGTGTCTTCTCTTCTATTGGTTTGTGAAAGCCAATTGGGCCTTGCAGGGACCTATCATTTATAAGTTAGACGTTTAGCAAGGATTAATAGTAATACTAACCAGATGTTTTATTAATTATGTATCACTTGGCCTACAATATATACAGAATATCAGCCAAATGGGCAGGCTCCTGTCTCCTCGACTAGCAAACAATTGATGCCCCAAGTTCAAGCAAATGCAACAGAAGCTGCAAAATTCTCACCACCAAGGCGTTTAAGGACAGAAGAGATCCCTCTAGTTATCAATGACTATAGAGTTGCTGCAAGGAATGCTATGGAAGCTGGTAAGTTTTTATTCCGCCTCTAATATAAAACTACATAATAGATCTCTAAACCATTTCAATTCTGCGAAAAGAGTGAATTCAATGGCCAATACTGCCAAAGTGCAGGTGCTGCAATTATCTCACTCAAATCGCATAGTTAAACTTTAGTGCACCGCTGTAACTCTTTATATATCGACAAGTTCACAATTCATGCCTTTTGATTTCTTACTGTGTTGGCCAGTGGTCGATATAAGCATTTACTTGTCGGTCATTAGTACAAGCAGTAGGAGGAAAATATGTGCGAAAGAAGTAAACCCTTTGATTCAAAACAATTAAATTAATTATTTGTTATCTTGGGCATAAGTCCTCTTAGAAGGAAGGTGCCACCGCCATGAGCTCTTCCTTTTATT